TTAGTGGAGGCCTAAGGTACCGTACCGTACCGTAACGCTATGTGAACAGATAATTTCCAGCTTTGTTATCTCATAATCTGGGGATTTGGCTCATTATTCAGACTGATTTCATCAAAAATGAAGCTACTTGTATACATACATGTAGGTACCGGTACATGTACAGGGCTGTACAGTGTAAATTTTTTTTTCAAGTAATTTAAAGGTATCAATTTCTTCATCAGGCACTTGGGTCCTAAAACATGGAAAAACTGCTTCAGTGTACTTAGACACAGTGATATGTACATGTAAGCCAGTGGAAAACAAATGTCCTTCAGTTCCACACTGAATGGAGAGCCATGTACAAGTGTTGGTACAGTATGTTTGTGGTTGTTATAGGAATATTGATTCTCTTAACAATGCGCTTATGACTATCGATCACAAAGACTACCGGTTGTACTTATTTAGGGCTTTGAGAGATTTCTTTCACCTTATACCGGTGAATACACTGTACCTTAAAAAACAAGCAGCCTAATTGCAATGAGTACATGCTTATGGCTGATGTTTACAATGGAGAATGCAAACAAAAATAATTGTTAAAAAAATGACCATTTGCCTATACGTGTATCCCGGTATGACTGTAATAACCACAGATCTTTTGCCTACCGGTACATGTACTGAGCAGACACTGCTAGGACCTCTGTCTTCACATTCATCAACATCTTGCCATCATGACAAAACAGTAATGACCCAGTAATGACTCTTACTGGTACTTAATTATGCAACGGTATTGGCTTTGCTCATTTACCAGTTATCTTTTAAATTTCCATGGTAATTGCTATTCAGCAAACCTCTAATCTAGTTGATTTGATGTGCGTCATGCATGGTTTCTCAGGGGGTAGCTCGTACATGTAAGTCCGATGCCTCATAATTCTGACGCCTCATAAGTCCAAAAACAGCGTTTAAAAAAGTCCATAAGTCTGACGCCTCATAAGTCCGATGCATCATACGTGTACATGTACATCCGACACCTCATAAGTCCAACAAATGCCTATAAAAGTTCCAACGGTTTTTTGGCCCATGGCATAGATCCAATGCCTCAATAAATCCGATGCCTCGAAAGTCCGACTATGATTTGATGCGCGTTACGCTTGTTATGAGCGTATGAAGACAGCGCTGGGAACAAGACTGGTTCCCGGTGCAAGTATGGTGTATTATTTATGACACATACAAACATTTTTAAGATCTCAAAAGTATTACAGTCGAAAAAATGCTTTTTATATTTAGCGTTGGAAGTATCGTACATCATTCTTACACGTATTGGTATTTTGGATTAAAGAATACTGGATCATTGTACGAATTGTGCAGCTAGTTCACTTGATATAGTTTTCCCAACTGGGTCAGTACTATGGGCACGAGTTGGGAACCAAGTTGAATCTCGCTCGCAGGCGACGCATCGCACGGGCCCGCAATCCTTCATGTTTCACGGTCATTCACACTTACGCCTCATATTAAGTCCGATACCTCATTGGTCCGACGTCAGATTTATGAGGCGTTGGACCTTTGAGGCGTCTTAACTACCAGTGTGAGGCTGAAAAAAATAGCCTATACCGGTACATGTAAATCTGATGCCTCATTATTCTGACGCCTCATACATGTAAGTCCAAAAATTCTGACTTTTGAGGCGTCGGACCTATGAGGCGTCAGACTTACGATACGCACCCGTTTTTCATTTAGCATAGAGCACACATGTACATTGACTTGGTTATAATCTACTGGTTATATCCCATACGATAGGTATTGGTACATGCATTCCTGTGGTACGATATGTACTCCTCCTGTACTTGGATGATCCAATTCCCAGTCCTCGCCGAGCCAAACTTGCTTTTTGGGGGGGATTGGAATTTTTCATGTACATGTACAGGTAACCTTTTATGGCCTCTATGAGGTGTGAGTATACATTTTAGGTCTTTTCATTTTTTGATTTTAATACAACTTGCACAGTGTTCCATCACGTACATGTACCGGTACACTGTATGGTATGTACAGTGTACATGTACATGTACGGTACCAGCAGTGTTGAAATTTGTTTTCAGAATGTACAATATTGTATATGGTTTTCACTGAATGTGTAAAAACAAACAAAACCAAAGCAACCAGATAAACAACACGTGTCATCTCAGGATCTTATTTTGCTTTATGCACACACCGGTAGGGCTGTGCTGAATATTTGAATAACTTGATATTTGATTGATCAATAATCAATTCAATATTCGAATTTTTTTTCAAATTTGAATTTTAAAATGTAAAATTCATGAAAAGGAAGGGAAAATTTTCTTCGGTTCTAAATAAGAAAAATTGCACTATAGAGGCTTTTTTCAAGCAGATTCACATGAAAAGCGACAGAAATCTTACAATGATTTGAAAAGTACCAGTGAATTTTTCATTCAACAATTTAAAAGGAATAGAAATTTTCAACGGGGAAAGAAGTATTGTTCATCTCTTAAATCTTGCTAAATCATGGCTGGAGATAAAAGATGTGAGAAGCTACATGTACCACATGCACCATATTGATCTTAATATACAATTGTGTGCAACTGATTTTTAGAGATGTACATATTGTTTGTTCATAAATAATCTGCTTGTTGGTACGACCGAATATTCGGATATTTGATCAAATTGAAGGTCGACTGTTTGAATAGTTATTCAAGCTGACCAAGCCCTATATGCACATTTGAATTCCCTGCCGCTTTTCTCATCACTAAGAAAAGAAAATGGATCCCCACATCTCAGCCTTGGTGAAGCCAAGAGAATCATCTGAACAATATTGTCACCATGGCAACTGCATAGCCCCTTCGTCAGATGGGACAAATGAAACAAATTGGATTTGGGGTGCAGTTTCACTTCAGTGTTTCAGCATATTACTGTACTGTACCAGTACTGTACTAGTACGTACGTGGAGCCTGACTCACTGCATGTACACGTACATGTAGATTAAGCACTGAGATACAAAATTTGTTTTCCTAACACGGTAGTTTTGATTCATTTTTCCACCTGAATGAAGTGATTTAACATACTGTACATGTACATGACTACCCTTTCTAGTACGTTACATATGTACAGTACTGTACCTTTTCAAAGTTCACCAAAAAAAAAAACCCAATTTAGGGCAAAATGTCAAGTCAGAGGACTCCATCTACTGTAACAGCCCTGACCAAAATGGAACTCCAGAGCTAATACATGTACTGTATGTACAGCTTTGTATAATACTGGTATCATGGCTAAATCTGCTGTCAGCTGTATCCCTGCACAGTTTCAATGGGCAAGCACCTGACAAGAGATTTTGAATGCAGCCCATCACACATTTAGCCCATGTACATGTATGTACATGTACATTATGTATGTTAAGGGCCGATACAGTATCATATGTGCATACTTTACATTTACTGTACATGTTGATTCTCCATACAGCTTGTGGTATGTATGGATTTAAACCTTTGTGTATTCAGATTCAAGCGGCTTTACAAAAAAAATTCAGTTGAACTGCACATGCACGGTACATTTGGGTATTACTGCTACATGTACCGGTAGTCCATTTTGGCTCTCAACATGGTTACCTGACAGTCATATTATGAATGTCATAGTGTGCAAGGAGGTCCAGCCAGTCCACCGGTATATTTTGCAGACTTCAAAAAGTCTCCCCTGATCCAATCTGTTTCATAAAAACTGAATCTTCAATTACTGTAAAATACAATGTATATGTACTGTGTAGGGTACATGTACCTCGTTTGTTCATGCACATGTATCTGTACCTGTATTTAATGATGCAAAAGGGAGAAATCTATTGTATAGGGACGTTGTACCCAGATGTACATTATTTGCAAATTGTATGAAACTGGGAGATTTGAATTTGAATTGTTCCGTGTACACTGTACCCTGTCAACATTTACATGTAGGCAATTAATTTACCAGTGCCGGTAGCTTGTTAATAATGAATTTTTAAAGCTGTGATTTGCTCTAGCTGGCTCGTTAAACGTGATGTTTCATGGAGCATAAAGGAAATTATCCATGTCACCATAGTAACAAATTTTTTTAGCAACGTACCCTGTGTACATGTACATGTACATGTAGGCTTGCTATACCCTAGTTAATGAAGATGGAGCATTCGCCTGCAATTATTTTTGGTGCTGTTTTACAGTGTTGTGGATTGTTCCATTTCTGTCCCAGGCGGGTTACTCTGTTGTCAAGATCTGTCCAATAGGGATGGATGATTCAGCTTATCATGGATTTAATGCTTGTGTTGGGATGGGCAAGTGTAGTGGGAATACTCCTGCAGGTGAGGAGGGATGTTAAAAGCAACTCCCTAGATCCTCCCAGCCTCTTCACTTTGTCACTTGACTGTGACATAGGGGGCCTACATTGTACATGTACTGTATGACGTCTCATCTCCTCAAGAAACCTCCACAGTGCCTGTTGTTCGTTGGAGTGTTGTAAAGCTAGAACCCCTCAAAAAAAAAAAAAGTTGGGGTCCTTATCCGCAGTGAATGCTCCACGACATGCTTCTTTCGACTGCCAGGTGGTATCTTCGATTACTGGAGCCTCTTCTTTGGGTCTTTACTGTACTTCCGTCTATGCGAGTAATTGCCGTGCCTTGCAGATTGCATGTGTATGGAGTGTTGCAGAATGTGAACTTGGCACCAGACAAGTTTCTGAGCTCTTCCCCCTACTGACAGCCTACATGTACCATTCTGTCCTGTGAAGACAAGCGTCTCTCCAAAGGGAGGATTGACAACTCCCATTTTCAGACAACCTACCGTACATGCAGAGAAAGAGTGCTGCAATTAAAGGAGCATTACCATACAAGCACTAATCGGGACCATATTGCTTTGGGCAAGATTTGCGGATTGGGTAATAGCCTGTCTCTGGAAAAAAAAAAACAACTACTGTCCACTTACTGTGACTTTATTTGTTAAGATCTTTCAAAACTGGTCACTAAAACGTGTTTAATAGTACCAATAGACGTGATGGATGAGGATCAAACCAACCATACTGGTATGTTTCCGAGTATTGATCAGAATGTGAAGGAGCGGAGAGCAGTCAAGGTACATGTAACCATGTTTGTCTTTACTGTACACGTACATGCGTAGATCTTTGCCTCAAACCGGTAGTTTATTTTCAATCAGTTTCTTCTAAAATACCGGGTAGCTCAGATTTAACCGGTGTTGCCATGGTTGCAGGCAGTACACTTTCAGGAGTAAACATCTGTGCATACCAGACTGTACTCATATGTCCCAGGTGTGTCCATATTTATATTTTAATCACAGATTTTTGTCATAAAATTTTTCTAGCATTATTTTGTAATAATATGTTGCTGAACAACCAACATTTCGGCATACATGTTTGTATACTTGTAGGTTTGAACAGGTACATGTATCGGTACATGTACTTACAGTACAGTACACGGTAATTACAGTCAGGTTTTTGCTTGACTTTAATTATAACTTTTTGTCCCATTTAGCTTCGACTTAGACTACTACATGTAGATAGAAAAAAATACCTGGATATATGTACCAGCAGTATCAGTATATTGGGGATGTTTTTGTGACAAAGTATATTCAGTGTCTGTTATTTGTATCAACCATTTTCCCAACCCCAGCTTTGCAAGTACCAATGTGATTTTCGCTGTTGCAGTTTTCTAAATATTTAGAAACCCTTTTGCAACCCTGATACCGGTAGTACCGTACTTTCATTCGTGTCCCAGGTTTGCTTTGAAATCACCAGCCTATTTTAAAATCCCTGTCCTACTCTTGCTTCCTGTACAAGACAGTACAAAGACAAATATTTCATGTTTTTTTTCCATTTGTAGGGGAATTTATGCATTGCTTGTTCCTATATATGTATGCACAAACTGTAAACCTGCCTACAGGAAAGAAATAACCAACAGAGGCAGAGTATCAAAAGAAAGCTAAACAAATTTGTGACAGCCTTTCCATTTGCAGGTGATATCATGCTTACTTGATCGTATTGATATTTCCACAAGCCCATCATCTTTTCTTTCTCCGTCTCTTTGTGTTTCAGCGAATCCAGCCTGTAGGTCACAGCAATATCCGCGTCTCAGCGAAATGCATCAAACGGCAGGAAGGGCCCAAGGTCGTGCAGTAAGTGGAAAATTCTTACAGTTTGTCCATTTAATTTTTTCGCCTTAAAACTACGGGCCAGCAATCTCCGCTGATGGATACTGATAGAATTCTGTTGAAAGCAAAACCTTCAATGTGTAAAAAGTCACAGATTCAAAAAAGTCATTTCAAAGCACTATGGACAAGTCTTTAAAAGTTCTTCATTGAAATTCTACCCAACGACTGTAATTACTGGTGCACGTATTTGACAGAATGGGTTGGCAAGCAATTTTAAGTTTGAAATCTGGTGCTTCACAAAGTTTCGTTCTACCGGTACTCATACGTGAACATGATGTATTTGTACACTACCAGTATTTACAATTTTCTGAAATGAAAAAAGGGTCATTTTAGATATTATTAAATTATTTTTATACCGGTATTTACAAGTACTTGTAATTCTGATGTCCATTGGTATATGTACATGTAGGGTATATGAGGATACTTTAAAAACATTAAGCAGCTTTCTGAATATTGAATTTATGTATTTTGTCTTTGTGCATTCAATTTTTTTGAGAAATTTATGCCAAGTGTTGGCTCTTTATAAGGTACGGGTCTTGTACCAGCAAACACAACTGCCAAGGTGAAAAAGAATTCTGCTGTCAGCTGATTTCAGCCATTTGTGTTCACATTTCTACTTTAAAGAACTGTCAACATTTCAGTTTTTTTTCCCCATCTGTTTTCAGCTGTTTTACATTTGTATCTGTATGTACATGTAGTCATTCACCCCCCTGACTCTACAAGTAAATGTACTTAGTACTGATGTAACTAAATGTACCACATGTACCGGTTAGCACTCATTCCTTACCAGTACATGCAGATGGAACATTAATTTGTACTTGTCACACAGGTTGTTGATTTTGAGATGCACATGAATTTGGCAAGTTGAAAATGTATTGCTGGACTGTGGGGCATTACGCGCGCGTGCAGACATGTATGTACATGTACCGATGTGTAATGTGCACTTGTATAACCTGAGTTTGACCACAGTTTTCGACGCTAATGGTTTGTAATTGCCGTTAATGGATAGGTTTGTTGTGCAAATATTTACATGTAATTTGATCATTTGTGGTATTACATGTACCATTACGTGACAAGGAGGGGTGAAGTGTGATTGTGGTATGTCGTTATCTTTGCCTTGAAATCACGGATAGAAAGGGACGTTGTCTCAAGTACTCTTGAAGTGAAACACTTGCATGGACACATCAAACTGCTTCAATCTTGTTACAGCGCGATCACCACTTTTGCCATTTCTCTCTTGACAAGTGTTTTCCGCAATGGAGGAGACATGAGCCCTGCAGTTCGTGTGCTTCTACACAAAAACCAGATGCTAAGCATGGTCCATATATTAGACCACATCACCAGCAAAGTCACCCTCACAAGTGGTGCTGTCAGAAGGTATGTTTGTTTTCAGTTAAAGAAAACAAAAACAAAAGAGAAAAATCACTTTATTCTCATATATCATATTCCTAAGTTGTGAAGCCCTGCTTTTGGCCCTCCTTGTTTTAATCTGTAGTTTCATATTAAACCAAAGTAAAATGTAATTAATCTTTTATTGAGGGCATTCATTTTGTACCTGTGCACTGGGAACGGTTATTTGCCAATTCTAAGTAAATATGAGAAGGGTGTTTCATAATGAGTGTAACTGTGAAAGTTTCCAGAAGCAATTTAAAGACTGAAGTTTTTTTTTGAAAAACTTGTTTTTTAATTTGTTTTCCAAAGATTGTATCACATGTCTGGGAAATTGGTCTTGGATGGATCAGAGCTTGAAAACGAGCAATGCTACGTAGCAGCAGGCGGGGAGAAGTTCAAGAAGCGAGGCTACAATATACAAAATTTGCAGCAGACGTCTCCAAGGAATAAGAGGTAGGGATTACAGCCAAATACCCCAATTTGCATCGTGTCCAATTGCAATGCATATGGGGTCTTAACTCTGAGAATTGGCAGTGTGTACTTATCCAGACCTTGAGAGAAAACAGACGGAAAGATATCCAAAGATAGTAGAGTCATCCTCTGGTAATTTTCAACCATATACGTACATGAACATGTACAGATGCTATTATTGTTTCATTTATGCATGACATCTATGGTAGATGTGATTTTTCAAGCTCGCGTGATTCCTGCAGGAGAGTGAGACATATACAGTTTCTTATACGTACATGTACATACATGTACTAGTACGTTATTATTATTATGATTAAATTAATTCATTAAGCACAAATTCTATACAACCTGTACAACCTTGTATTCTGTACAACCAATAGCAGAAAAATAAACTTGTGTAATATAAAATTTCATCAGAATTCAAAAGACACTAAAAACATTAATTTACGATTATACACAGATATTAAAACAAAATAAATTTAGTACACAGATACAACAGGACATTAAAGTCGTCACAGAAGAGCGCAAACTAATAACATTCGTTAAAATACTGATAAAAACACATCACAACTCAAAAGCGATCCTAAACAGATGAGTTTTAGCAGTGCCTTAAAACGGTCTAAACTTGTGGCATTTCAACTTGTTCTGAGCAAGTTGAATGTCACACTTGTACTGCCTTATCCAGTGCTTCATATACATGTACATCTATGTGCACGTACGAATACAAATGAAAGGGCTGGGAAACATTGTATGTCTTGTCTACAAGTAATCCAGTTAGTTTTCAATTATACCTTCAGCTTGGCCGTGCCCTGAAGTGAGTTTGTGGCAATCAAGTTCATTGCACCTTGTTAAATTATCTTCAAAGCTTCAACGCCTCAAATCAGCTGCTTAGCAGCCTGCTTTTTTCATCCAGCTAGGAAGCAAATCATGTGACCATAGAAATGTACCAGTACATGTAGACGGAAATTGTTTTGCCTGAGTTATAAAATTGTAAAAATACAAAAACAAAACAAATTTCAATTCACACTTGCATTTTTTTTCTATCAAAGGGTATTGGTTTTTCCAAAGTTGAAGGAAGAAAAGTTGATAATTCTGTAAAGCGTTTCCAACCAGCATCATCATGCATATACATCCTGTAGACCTCTGCAGTTAGTTTAAACCTGGCAGAAATTGTTTTGCCGGGTGGAAAAAACTTCAGGATTCCTTGAAAGCAATTTCCATACATATTGGTTTGACCAGCAATTACTTGTAGGCTTCTGTTCCTACTCAAAAAGCAGGGATTGAAGTAATATCTTAATGCCGTCTTGCAATAACAGAAAAAAAAAGAAAAACAGCTGTTGGACATCTAGTGGCCCGTGTGTAACTGTGAATAAGGAAGTTGTTTTGCTTCTTAAAGCAAACTTCAAATTTCTATTTCCATAATTTCATCCTATGAAAGAAGACAAAATCATAGTTTTCATAAAGCACTTTCTTGGTGAAAAGCAGTTTGTTTGCTTGGGCAACAAATTCATCTATCCAATTTTTTCCTTTTTTATTTTATTCCCTGATAGCCAAATTTCCACAATGAATGTTGAAGGTTTCTTTCCTCATGAATTTAATGAGTAAAGGCAGGATGACTGCACCTGTGCTTTATAACTCAATTTTTGGTTGTCTTTATTAAGTTGTGCTTAAGTGTATGTTTGTGTGCACGTCAAGTCCAAAAAAATCTCCCCTAATTTTGTCAAGTACGGTGCAATTGTACATGCATGCATATAACGCAGTGCTTTGTTTATACAATCATCTCAACAACTTCTCAAGGATATTTGCATGACTGAGTAATGCAATCCTTGAGAAAGAATTCTCCATTCACTGAGATGTCCCAACACTGGACTGAGAAACAAGAAAATCCATGAATGTCTTGAGAAAATTTCTGTTTTAATTCATATATGTACACTGGTCGATCATGTAGCGGTACATGTACCATATGGGACATACGGCAGCAAAGGTGAAATTCAAGTGTGGGCTACATGTAGCTTGCCCTGATACTGTCTAGATGTGGGAAACCAGGATTCTAAAAGTTACCAATATGGCCCTTACAGTGCTGATAGCTCTACGGGTACAGGCACCGGTGACTTGCACTTTTGGAAATGAGCTGTTTAAGTCCATGTACATTGTACATTTTAGGCATGCCTAGGCATTTACATGTACAGTATTGTGTGCACTGGTACATGTACACATGGACATGTGCATTTGAGTAAAATGCCATAAATTAGAGGCGATTCACATGCTGTATAGTGTACTTTGTCATCAAGTGTTTGGCCGTCAGAGGTCGCACCTTCACATTACTATTTACATGCATTAATTCCTGTACTGCACGCTGTCTTACAGTTAGACAAATGTTTCCATCACTGTACCGGTACAGTGTACATGTACATCAGATCACTGGAAAAAAATTCAGAGAAAAGCAATTTCCTTACCATGAACCAGGCTAGCATCATTTTATACAAGTACTTTACACAATGTACGTTTACCTGTACAGCTACTGTATTTTGCTCCGAGCTACATGTAACTGTAATTGCTTGAGCGAATGTGTGTGTGCTGACAAGAAGAAAGTTGGGGATGACTGTTCTTGTGCTTCTTTTGCTTTCTTCATCCATTTGCGTCAATGGTGGATTAAAATGATCTGACTTCCCTGGAGCCATATTTGATAAATCACCAAACACGTGATGCACATGAGGCTTACGTCTACTGTACTTACATTTCTACCCTGGGCAGTTTCCCAATTCTTGGTCGCCTAACTCCTCAGGCTTTGTCTCTGAAATAATCATGACCTGCCTTTTAGGCTGGAGTGGTCAAATTCAATACAAATGCGTTTCTGCATGGCTTCTACATGTAGTTTGACTTGGTGTGTTGGCAGTATTTGTACTATTGAGCTATATCCTATATGTACAGCTCCAAAGCCCGGAGGGTTAAAAATCAGGTGGACAGAGACAAAGCTGAGTATTGGGGAAAAAACCTAGGCTTTGCATTGTATGTATCCAATAGTCATGCACCGGTACTAAATTACCAGTATACCATGTACCGGTACCGGAACTTGTCTGGTCATTTCAGAGGTTAATTACATGTATCTTAGGCCAATTCTTGCAGTCTTCAGTAGAAAATTCTAAATGTGGGAGAACTCAAGTTAAGTGCGCTGAAGAGAAAGGGCAGGTCACTGTGATTGAGAGCCTGTTTTAAATTCATGGTACATGTACATGTATGTTTACTAGTAACCTGCCTTAAGTAGTAAGGAAATGTTTCCTAACTTTCTACATGTACAGTATACCAGTATGTCCTTGAGCAAGGTAATTTAACACAATTACATTCTGTTCCGCACCTTTATTCGGCATGAGGTTACCTTAGAGGACTCCTGCATGTTCCCTCTAAGATTGGGCATTTTAAGGATTGCTTGCAGACATGCATGGGTCCAAAAAGTACCGGTACATCTACATGCACTTTTTTGCAAATTACTGATGAAAATGTGGGAAGATTTTGTTGAAAAGGGGAACACTGCATGACAGGAAATTGACAAAAAAGCGAGAAAATTGACTTCATTAAAATTCCGTATTATATTAGAACCTCCTAGTAAACATCACCTGAAATTAATTCTGATGGCTGGACACAAGTGAAATGACATGTACAGTACGTACCCAGATCAGCTGATATCCTAGAGCTGAAAATAGCCCTCTCCTTGGACATCCTTAGCTGGAATGAATCTTTACCCTGTGGGGATTCAAGCCAAAGAATATAAAAGAGAGTAATTGTTTGAAGACTGACCTTCAAAATAAGAAAAACAAATCATGTAAGTCTTGCCCGCTAATAAAACCTTGGAGATTTCAGGCTGGCAAGAAGCAGAAATGCCAATTCTATTAAGGGGTAATTTGTTCAGTTCCTATTACTGGCTGGGAGAGTTAGGGAGTTGCAGATGGCATTCTTGCTGTGAGGTGACGTCAGTTGGATTTCTTGTTTGTTTTCTTGAGTAGAATACATGTATGATGCAAGTACCTGGTATTGTGCACGTGTCCAGGAAAAACATAGTTTTCTTACAGTTGGAAAAATGATAACCGGTGTGAAAAAGATCTTTTGAGGGAATTTTTTTTTTACGCCATGTATACCCGTACGTGTACAACTGAATCGTGGCACAGTCTTAATCATATTACATGCACACGTAATAAGTCTTTTTGTTTTCAACCTAAAGGAATGGACAAACTGTTTGGGGTATTTATGAATCTAATTTAATGTTGTTTTCATGTACATGTACACATGCATTGTACATGTATGTATTTTCAAGCCTTTACGCAATGCATTTAAGTTTTAGTGACATTCACACATGGACTATAAAAAAGTGTGATTTTGTATTTTTAGAATGAAAAGCCTTGAAAATGAACATTTACTGGTACATATGTAACTTTGAGATGGCCAGCTGCTGTTTTGAATGAATCTCATTTTTTCTCTATGAATTTCTCACTTTATTAACCATATGCTGCCTGTGAGTACATGTACATGTATGCAGTATCTCTTGCACCGGGTACATGTATATTTTGAGGTACATGTACATGCACGTAGCTAATCAGGCGATATGGGCATTATTCTATCCAAAAGAAAATGTCATCCACATTGTAATAGACCTACATGTACATGTACTAAGTACATGTGTATAATATAATGAAGCCATACTTTGTTTCCATGTGTGCATGCCTGTATGGCAATGAGTTGGCACATGTTGCCAGCATGTCATGTTCTAGTCTAACGGGTATTACGTGTTTAGATTTTTTGTGCTGCATGCACAGTGTCCTTGTGTACACTGTAGTTTCACTTTGACACCATTTGCCCCTTGTCTATAACCCACTGCTCTGTCCCCGAGTCTGCATCCCTGGCTGACACTTTTTCTATCTATCCTCTTTCCAGAGTGCTTCCACCGGTTACTAGGAGACCACCACCCAAAGCCAAGCCGTCTCCCATCAGGGAACAACAGGTACGGGGTAAATTGATTGTGCAGCGTCATGCTGCAGTTGCACCTGTTCGAAATGTTCTTTTTACCACATTTTCTCTTTCCAGAAAAATGTTGATGAATACATAGAGATATAAGATCAAAGCAAACAATTTTATCACCCCTGCATGTACATTTAAATGAGCTAAAATATTTACTTCCACACTACAAGAGTATATAAATATAAGCACTCAATTTTTCACATACATGTACCTGTAATTTGTCCTAGTTGTTGTGCAAAACTTACAGGCTGTGCGTTTTAGCTTATATTTTGTGGGGTTTAATGTCACCTGTTTTGTTGTTTTTAAATAGGAAAGGAAAGTCCTAGAATTAAAAAAAGCTAGCAATAAGGGTCAGCCTAGTTTGAACACGGTGAGCAAATAACGTGCACCATTTGTGCAGCATACATGTGCACCATGAAAGCTGTGTAAAAATCGTTTGTGCTCACCCTTGCATCTCTAGAAACCCACTCATCAGCCTCGAGAGCCTAAACCTCCCCCGCCAAAGCAGGAGGTCCCAGCTCGCAGGCTTCCGCCCAAGCCTGCTGCCCAGCCCGAGCAGAAGCCCAAGAGCCGACGCCCCAAGCCGGAGAAGACGGCCGAACAAAGGGAAGCGGAGGCTGTTTTCCACCACAAGCCGGCCATAGTCAAACGCAGCCGGGAAAAGGAAGAACAACCCAAGGAATCTCTGGACTATGAGGGTAAGTTATCCATCATATTAATCTAATCCAATGAGCCGCCATTTGCCAGAGCCACATTCGAGAGAGAGGCCTTGGACAATGTTGGAAGATTCTCACATAAATGTAAATCACTAGGAACCCCTAACTTATTTTAACCCACATACAGTCCCATATTCATCAAAATGCCAAACTGAGTGATGTGTCTAAGTGGAGTTCTTTGTAATGCAGACAAAAACAAAATTGCTGAAAATTGCCAGGATTGACACCTTGAAACCAGTTGGCGAACCCCAGCAAACATGACTACCAGTATGTTGTGGTATCCACTTTGAAGCACCGGCCCCCTCATCGGTTGAAAAGTGTTCCGATTTTGCTCATAGCGTAACGTGTATCTTATAGTCGTTTGTGAACCAGCAAAATGCAGTTCCAACCAAAGGAGCCGCCGTTGCTAGAAAAATAGCACCCTATTATGGTCCAGCTGGGGTTCATTGTAGAGAAAGGGGACCAAAAGAGTTAGAGACGATATGGGAGGGAGCACATTAAAAATACAAATGTATTATGCAGTGCATTAATCTGCCAAAATAGATGAACAAAATGTGAAATGTTCAAAGTTCTTTGCCTCTTTACAGATCCTAATAGTGTTTTCAAGGCCACGGAACAGCGGAAGGAGACAGCCCGGGCTGCTGAAGTGGAGGAAAACAATGAAACCGCTGTTGATCTTCCAATTGATCAAATTGCTGCTGAAGAAGTTGACGAAGAGGTACAGGAGTATGAGTC